TGCGCGTAAAACATAAGCGAATAAAATGAAGACTACTGGGTGAGGGTCCTCAAGGATCCGGATCGCCTGTCTATGGAGAAAAAATCTAAGACGTGTGCAATTGCTGGGAATCCCGGGAATTCAGCCTGTACCGTCAGTTGTGTATGACACCATTATAGGAAACACTCATTGATCATTGATCAACATTTTATGTCGCAGGTATGGGTGATGTTCGTTCCCGTTCCCAAAAAGAAGCAAACCGAAGAGTACAAGGACATCGGTGTGCTCTGCAGCTTTGTTGCATGCTTTTGCAACTTGTAAGTCGTTTCTGGGTCGCTCATCTGACCGAACCTGACCCTAGCTTCCATCATCCATCCTGTCTCGTGCCTGGTGCCTGGTGCACTCACTCATGCGACCCTGTCTGTTTGTTGGTCCTCCCGATGGCCGATGGCATCTCCTGTCACCTGTCACTCCTGTCTGTCTCCTGTGTAAAGTGCCTGACAGGACGCAGCTCACAAGCTCAAAGCACAACAAGAGATGGTGAAAGCGCCCTCCGACATGGCTTTCGAGAAGTTGCAGCAGAAGAAGGCTGAAGCCGTGAAGCAGCTGCTGGAGGATCCAAGCGAGTTCGGACTTGAAGGCTCGTGCCCAGCCGTGCTCCATAGTCCGTCTCGATTGTTGACCTGCGCAACATTGGATTCGGGCATGTGTAATATACTTCATTGCAATGCCAAGGTTTCGATGTTCCTTCGACATCATCGTCGGCGCCAAAGATTCGCACCAGTTGGGGATCTAATGCTTCTGAGGCCTCTGCTAAGCTCAAGCCAAAGCCAAAGGGTAAGACGGAGGCGAAGAACCTGTTGGTGCAAGTCTCCGTGGCTCGAAGGGCCACGCTGAAAGATTTCAACGACGCGCAGCGAGCTTTGACGGCCGGCATCAGGGATGCCAATAAATGCACCGCTGAGGCAGATCCATTGAGCCCGTGTGGAACACTTCAAGCTTGGATCCCGAACCCAGACCAGACCGTAAAACCTCCTGGGCAGCCTGGGCAGGCCGTGAAGTTCTACAAGGATCTCGATGCACCCGCTGCCAAGAATGACAGCGCGTTGCAACTGGTCATTACCAGACGTGCAATTGTTTCTCAGATGCACGGCTCACATGACTCACATGGGCTTTGGTCTTTGGTCATGTTGTGCAGCTGTGCAGTTGTGTTACTGTTCAGATTCAGGGATGAACGCTCATGGCATCCCAGGTGCAGATCTTGCTGCAGGATGGGAAGACGATGAGCAAGGAAACCGCTGAGGACCTGTCAGCCAAGTGGTCTCGTGATGCTTTTCTTTGCGAGACGAGCACGCCTGTGGAGTTGGTGAAACCCCATGCCGCATCTTGTCTGGAACTCCAGACTCCAGAATGCATAGGTCTAGAGAGCGAGTTTGAGTTTTGGCCCATTTTGGCTGGGCTTGAAGGTTCTTCTCGAAGATCGAAACAACATGGAGTTCGAGGCGGCCAGCGTGCAGCTCCTCGACGAGATGGTCGATGCGCATAAAGCATCCATTGCGGCCGTGAAATCGGCCGGGAAGGCGGCGTCCGACGCTGCAAAGGAGTGGGTGTCAAACAAGGGGGCACTCAAAAAAGCCCAAGAGTTGGAAGCCAGAACGGCACTCAAGGAGGAGGCGGGTAGTGTTGTTTTAAATTTTCGGGTGCTATGCAAGCGAGCGTGTGAGCACATGCAGCAGTCCACGAGCCTGAGCTTGACCGAGTTGCGAGATTTTGTTTCGAAGCTTTGTGTCGTTTGCCACCGGCCCAGAGAGTGATCCGATGCAGCTTATGTCAAATTCAGTTACATATATCTTTCAGTGCAGACGGAGCCTATGCCCTTCGAAAGCCCGAAACTCTGTACCTCACCACTAAAACCTACAACCTAAGGTTTACGAACTAACCCAAATTTTGACACCATCAACTTCTGAACTTACAACCTTACAATCGCTCATAGTCCTGAATTCTTCGTATATGCGACGTTCTTTGACGGGCGGTAGCCCCTCGAGCTCTCGGGGCCTCTTTCTTGGGTTTGCTTGCCTTTGCTGTGGCCCGTGAGTCCTCCTCAAGCCCTGCATCGTTACATCACGGGCCAGGCCAGGCTCAAGAAGCTGGCAGACAAAGATGCAAAAGCCAAGCTTCGGGACGATGAAAAGGAAGAGAGAGAAGAAAAAAAGAAAAACAAGAATGCACTTGGAGCGGGAAACGATGCAGCCGGAACAGAAGGTGATGATACGACGGAGACGACGAAGACAAAAAGAAACCTCAGACTGGGACGTGGCGTGGCTGCAGAGCTCTCAGAGAGCGACCCGGCGGTGTTGAAGCAAAGATTGACGGCCATCGAGAGCCTAGAGGTGAATGCCATAGCGCATGCTTTCGCATTTGGAGTGGCCACGCTTGTCAAGACAAAAGCAGTGATGAAGAAGATCGCGAACCAGGCAGCCAGGCTTTACCATTTCAACATTGATGATGCTTGTACGTTTGTAAGTTTGTAATTTGTGTGAGTCATTTGAATCATTTGTGGGTAGTGAACTGTGACATGTAGAGCTGCATAACCTGTTCCCCGAGCCTGGGCCCATCGGCTCCGCCGCTGTCACGGACAAGAATGCTGCTGCTGCTGCAAACATTTTCAAGTCTGCGATGATGACATTTCAAACTACACTGGATGCGGACTTGGAGGCCTGTGGTCCTGTGGTTACCATCGTTGCAGTTGAATTTTCGCATCAGTTCCACAACTCCCTCCTACAGCAGCAAGCTTCCATCAAGTTCGTAATCGTAATCCCTCAAACTGAAGCCGAAGCCCGAAGTCCGTAAGGCCCCTAAGCTTGATCACTGGCACAACATGCTTGCAATTGGCTAAGAGTTGCTTTGAGTGCTCGTGCTTATGCAGTTCTGCCGCACGGAGGCGCGACCGGAGAAGAACCGCTTGCAACAAGTCCTTGAGGACCCACCCCTTCCGGAAAAGATGTCATTGACAAGCCAGATCGACGCAGCCGAGGAATTGTTCCGCCAGGCAGATGGCATTGCGTTAGTTGCGTGATGGACAGGCTGATGCTGTTTGTTGTTTTGGCCCGTTTTGGCTTGACCTTGCCTTACAGGCACTGCGGGAAAAGGGCAAGAGCGAGCTGGAGGTTGTGAAGCGGCAGTACGGCAACGGCGCGGATGTGCTCGGGGCTGTGCAGGCGATATTGGGTGACGAGGCCGTGGCCAAGCTGTCCCAGGTCGTCATTTCCGGTTGCCGCCAGAATACCGTGTACACTGGACTGAATGCCGGGCCGGGGCTGGCATCGATTCAGTTTCAACATTCAGGAGCACGACTTATCTCCTTCGCCGACTACAAGGAGTTGGTCGAGCTCTTCGAAACGACAGATTACAGCGCTGTCATGGAACGATTCAAAAATATGTCCGCTGCTGAGGCTGAGCAGTTGCTGAGTCTGCGCCAGGCAGCCGTTCGAGCAGGAGACATGGTCACTCTGCCGGACGGCTGCTTGTTCACCGAGAAAGCGCTGTCAATCGGCGGACACTCAGTGTGCGTGAAGATTCCGTCGTTCTATTTGACAGTGCGTGGATTGGAATCGCTCCAGAAGTTGCGAGAAGTGTTTACAGAGTACCTGGGTCCGCAATTATCCGCAGCGGCATCCTAGGTCATAGGTCATATATGCCCTACTGGTCCTATATATAGAGTCCTACTCCTACGCCTACGGTCAGTTCTGTGCTATTGTTGAACAATAACATGCAATGGGCATAACGACCGCGATAAAAAATAACACTACCACCACTGGACCGCCACCGCCAACAACAACAATAACAATAGCCACAACGATAGCAAATAGTGGCGATAACGATAACAGTAGCGAAAGCAAAAAAAAGACGACGACGACGACAACAACAACAACAGCAGCAGGCTTCTACCGTTCTAGATCCATTCAGACTCAGACTCACATTCTACGAAATTCAGAAACATGCCGACATGATGTTTTGACGTGCTGAACGGAACGGCCGAACCTCTCGAGGCACCCTGTGCTGACGGCTCTTTGCGATGCTGGAAATGGAAATGCACGGCTTGCCGACATGCAGTGGATACCAGACCGTGACGCCGCCTCTGATGACGAGACTTGGTTTTGGAGATTTGGAGAACCGTGCTGTGCTGTTGCTGCTTTTGCTTTGCTCCTAAAAGGGACCCTTATGAAATGCCATGCTTAAAGCTTGAAACTTTACTCACTGGTTACTTCACAGCCTAGGAGGACGACGTCGACTTGGATACGGCCGCCGATGCAAGATCTTCCAAGCAGGAGCAGGGAGCAGAATCAGATCACGAGGAGGCTCTAGCCCTAGCCCTCGCGATATCAAGCTTGGGAGTTGTCCCTTGTGAGTGACATCATAGTCACCACCGTTGCCGTAAATGTTTGTCTTCATTTTGGAACATGGATGCAAAGCTTAGGTTGCGACTGACGATGCCAATAGCGTCACCCTCGGCGGCTACCTCGAGAGCCTCTCGGATGCTGATCTTTCTCTCATATTGGGGGAGATCAAGCTTCACACCATGTATAAAGAATTTCTTGAGTGTGTTCGCGCGGATATCGATGACGATGCTTACGAAGTGGGATTGCCAGAGAATTGCGCTATGGATGAGATTCAAGACTTCTATCAGTGGATGTTGGACAAACATGACACCGAATGGTCGGCTTCTGCTACATTGGACGATGCGAAGCAAAAGCAGGGGCAGGAGCATTGCGTCGCACTGTTGTGTGCTGTGTGACAGGCTGTGTATGTCACAGTTTCATCACATCCTGTCGATGTCAGCAGGATGGCAATGATGGCACAAAAAAAAGAAAGCGAGCGGAGGACTCTTCTGTTTTGTGCTGCAGTGACTCCTAGCGGTGACCAGTTTGTTGAGTTCCACTGTTGTTGTTTGTTGTTATTTCCCAACTCCTGGTGTCAGTGACAGGCCCTAAACTCCAAACCGTAAACCTACTCGTGACAGGATGATGACGCCAGGGCCGGTGCCAACGACCCGCCGACAGTCCGAACTGCTGTGGCTAGTCAGTGAATGTGTTGGTGTCCCACAGTTCGAATCCTTGAGGTTTCAGTTTGTTAGATGTTCGGTGTATGTTGTACACACTGTCTATCAATCTGGCCTTCTTGGTCAAGGACCAGGCGGATGAGGAGCGCGAGTCGGATTTGTATGAGTTGTACGAAGGGCCTGCCCCGTTGATGGACAAGTTGCGGGTTACATATTGTGTTTCCTTGTCGAAGTAACGGCCATTCAAACAGGATGGCAAGAATGAGCAGGCCGAGCAGGCAGTGCCACCGGAGATGGCCAGGGTCGCTATGCAGGTGGACAGTGCTTGCATTCTAACATCCTGCATGACTGTGTGTGTGTGTGTCTTGATGTGGACAACATGACGACGAGCATGCATATCTGCATCTTGTTGCTGGTGCTGTTGATTGCATCACGAGGGCATCGTTGACACACCGGCAGCCCGACCTGATGCCGAGAGTGAGAATGAACCGAAAGTTGCGAACAGCTCCGAGACCGAGAGGCCGAAGGACATCATCGTCTAACGAGTCTTATGTCTGTTGTTGCAGTGACCATTCAATCATTGAATGTTTATGTTGTATCAACTTGTATATTTTGCTTGTTTTGGTGATGTAAGCGCTGATGCAGGATGCCAATGGCAATGATGGCACTGGCAACTGTGGCAACAGTGAGCAGGCCGAGCAGGCAATCCCACCCCCGCCGGAGATGCTCAAGCCTGCGGCGGTCACTATCCAGCAGGTGGACAGTGGACAGGCGATTGCAACTGCAACTTGCCTTCCAACATCCTGCGTGGGTGACTGCATGTGTGTGTGTGTGTGTCTTGATTCTTGATGTCTTGATGTGACGACAACATGACATTCACAGTGACAGGCGACAGGGACAACATTGCAACGATCATGCATTGCATATTGTTTTTTTCTGGTCTAACCAGGAAACACTTGCTGCAGAGGGCAACAGTCAACAGTGAGGTGGCCGAGCAGGCAATCCCACCGGAGATGATGAAGAAGGGGGCGGTCACTATCCAGGACGGTGGCGACGGTGGACAGCCACTTCACGCCGCTCTCCTTGCAACATCCTGCGTGAGTGACTGTGTGTGAGTGTGTGTGTCTTGATGTCTTGATGGACAACGGGAAAGTGACGGGGACAACAGTGCAACGAGCATGCAAATTGTTTTGTCTGGTCAAACTTGGTCAAACCAGGAAAAACTTGCTGCAAAGTGCAAAGGGTAACTTCCAGGGTAACAGTCAACAGTGAGGCAGCCGAGCAGGCAATCCCAGCGGAGATGCCTGCAGCCGCAGCGGTCGCTATCCAGGTGGACGGTGGCGACGGTGGTGGACAGGCGCTTGACGCCGCTTGCATTCCAACATCCTGCGTGAGTGACTGTGTGTGAGTGAGTGTGTGTGTGTGTGTCACTAGTGTGTGTGTGTGTCTGGATGTCTTGATGGACAACGTGACAGTGACAGGGACACCGGGACAACACAACAGTGCAACGATGCAAATTGTTTTGTCTGGTCAAACTTCGAGTCAAACAAACCAGGAAAAACTTGCTGCAGAG